CAGCAATAGCGCGCTTACCTGCGTAGATACGACTTCACATAATCCGACAAAAAATAGTCCAGCGGTGTTAAATCGCACGATCCTGGGGCTATACCACATAAATTATTCAATAAATTGTTTTGTAGAAATATGGACCAATGATTCCCTCTGCCCATATAGCTCTTCCTGCGGGTAGGGGTAAGAATTTACCCGCGGTAAGACATGCCTGTCGTAAAAGGCGACTAAAAGCCAAATGCACTATGACTGTTAATTTATTTTGCCCAGAATATCAGCATAGTAAATGATGTCAGAAATAGTGATATAATACTCAGCTTGAACTGATATTATAGACTTTAAATGAGATTCCAAATAAAAAGACATTTGAAGTTCAAGCGACAAATGTCATCAGTCATAGAGTAAGGCGGGGCTCAACTGGCAGTAGTTTCGGCTACACAGTCTGACCGGAGACTCAACTCTGGTACCACGGGGAGCAGAATGCCCTTGGACTTCGGTTCAATCTGCTCATTGGGTTCATCCCTTTGGGGAGTATCGTGGTGGCTGTGGTTTAAACCTAAATGCTGGAAGAACTGAATTTCAGTTCGAAAAAAGAAGTTGCACAAGCAACTGGGTTCCGTACTCGAAAACCGAAGAGGTTTTAGGTCGGCCTCGAATCTTACCAAGATGGTCAGTGTGCCCTACACACTGCCCACTGGTAACCAAGTTAATATTTGCAAATAGCTCGTATTATTTGGGGCGCTTATCAACACATTTTTTTGATACGTTGTGCTTTGGAGCACCGTGAGGTAAGGCCGTCGACGGCAGGTACTCACGTAAAACACACCGGACGTTGCCCATATAGCACACCAAACAGTGACCTTTCGAGAATGTAACGGTATCACAACAATGGCTTGTATATTTTTATCACTTCAAATGCGACAATTTAAACATTATTAACGTACCCATTTAACCGAAAGCTTTATCGCTTAATAAACTGTCTTGTGAATTTCATTTCGTTTTGGGCCTATTAACAGTTTTGTTAAAAACTGCTAAAAGTGCGATAAATCAATAACTAAATGCGTCAGAGATATTAAATAGTATATATCCAGGTGAAGAAGGCTTTATAGGAGGTGGTGTCATTGGACAACGGGCGGGTCACCGCCCACCTTTAGGTGAAATAATATATATCCGGACCTACGGACGTACAGACCAAATTTGGTGCATAGCATTGTTATGACATGTTTATGTCCCAGCGTTAAAAGGGGCGACATCGGCATACAAACGCGCTCCCTTCCCACATAAAAAAATTTTAAAATCGATCTGATTTTTTGACTTTCCAGTGATTATGTCGCGATAAAACTTTCCACAAATAGGTATTTTGAGGTATGCCATCTCTATCCCAAAAATTTTCAAAATCGGGCTATAATTGTTCAAGCCTCCGATAACGAATATGGGAACCCCAGTACCTATTGTTAACATTTACGGGTCAATCTCTGAGATATATTATTGCAACTCGAAATAAGAAGAGAAGGAAAACTTGCCCTAACCTCATATAAATAATATGGGAATTTTCGAACATCCGGCTGACTTTACTTCATATAGGTACAGTTGGTCAACTCGTGTGCTATTTTAGTGAAAATAAGTGGACAAGTTTTCTTAAAAATTATACAATAATAAGAAAAGTGTAGTACAGGATATGAATGGAGTTGGCCTAGACTTTGGTCTAATCCTCATATCCCTAATATAATGAATTCCAATCCTCTGGTTGACGTTTTCTAGATCAACTCAATATATTAAATTTTGCCCGTTCGGTTGAGTTTATACATATTATATATATCTCATTTAAAGACGATTTCAATAAAATTTTCGCTAACGCAAAGTAAAATATAGCAATAAAACTAAATGAGTCTGTGAATAATATAGCTTAATAAAAAAAATGTATTGTAATTCTTTCCCAACAATTTTCATACAAAGTTTTGTTAACACTTGAAGGTATTTCTCCGGCTTTGATCCTTGCAAGTTGCAAGAGTGTAAAATGTTCAGTTACACTAGAAATGAGCATATCCTTACTTGTTATTATTGCGCCTTTTCGAAATATTTTGTAAATGAATGTATTTTAATAATTTTTTGTTGGGTTACTTTTTCTTTATTTACGTTTTCGAATACGTCGAGCGGTAATGCAATGGTTTTGAACTCGACAAAGAATGTTTGCCTTATACTCGTATGAGGTCACAAAAACAAACAGAAGGTCTGCCTGGTTGCCTCTTTGACATACACACGTTTGCCGACTTTTTGTTACAGAAACTGATTAACTTCCTTTACAGCATGACATGACGCGCCGTCAAGTAAAACACTTGTAACCAACAAAACATTTTTAAAGCATATGAAGTGCGCAAACGTTTTGTTTGAAAAAACTACAACACACACCTTTTGGTCACGCTATGGTTATTTACAAAATTCAGCTGCCATCGTGGAGTTCTGTTATTGGACGATACCTGCTGGCCAAATATGCAACACAGCTGAACAACTATTTTCAAAACAAGGCGTAACTATTTCAATTCCTTGTTAGAGTTGTACTGAATTGAGCTTGCCAAAATATATAAGGTAAGAACTCAGTTAAATAGTTATTGACAAAGTTATTCAAACACACGTACAAAATGAGTAATTCGAAACTATTTGTTAATTGTTGGCAAATAAATTATTAACTTTTTGTATTGTTAAATAATTTACTAATTGATTTGGGCACTGAGGCGTTACCATAACGAAAACAATATTTTTAAAATACAAACTGAAATAGCTGATTTTAGTATTGTTTGGTTGCTTAGATGAGTACTGATTACTTTCATCCAATGTCTATAATTAGTTTATCAACCACTTTAGCAGCTGATTATATGATTTGTGTGCCTTCTCAAGTTTGGAAGTTTACGCAGTCAAAATCGATTTGAAGTGTATAGTTTATTCTTTATGTAATACCTCGAAAGCCGATCGAAAGAAAGAAATTTTCGCAGACTTTCCTTTTTAGGAAATTCTGATTGGTTTTTTGCCCAAAATAATAGGCAGCTCTTCTAGAAACATCCAAAAAATTCCAAGTTTATTAGTTTCGGTAGATGAATTATACAATTTGTTAGATATAATATATCTGAACTTGTTCCAAAAAATCAGTAATGAATTGTATAATCTACTATATATTATATATTGCATACTAAAGTTTTTCCTTTCTCTTTCTGCAAAAATCAATGTGATATTGCGTATACGCCATGACCTACCTACTGGCTTAAGGCGTGAACATTAATCGCTTGCTATATGCTTTGAGTTGGCAATGATTTATTTGCCAAAGAAAGTTGGACAACAGCAAATGAAGAGAAAATATTTTATCAGCAGAAATTCCACACTAAATCTTAACAAAATTTAATGAAAACATTTTATTCGTGGACTTTCTACAAAATTAAGAATATTTTGTGGATTATCAGCGATTTCCATTTACTTAATTCACCAATTATTGGCATTAGTTTAAACGAAAGGACAGATTGATTATATATTATCGGATTAAATTTGGAATTACTCAATTTTCAAAGTTTTTCTCAAAGTTCACATAACACTGTCGATATATACATAGTATATATGTTTCCACGGATTCTTTGTCTCGCTTATTCAGAATCACAAAATTTATGACAAATGACTTTATGCTATTTAAAGTGTGTTTATTTAAGATTTCTATTAGCAGATTTGCACACAATTTTGAAGCAACGCGCTTTTTTTGTTTACCCGTTCATATTTTTATTGCCTTTACATTACACGCACGAATGTGTATGTGGGATTACAAATATACAAATATATCGTTCCAAGATTCTCTATAATACTTTTATTTATAATCGTATTTTATGCCCACACCTGAAAGTTGCTTCTAATTTCGTTTCGTACAATTTTTGTAATGAAATTATTGTAGTACAGAAGAGCTTGTAGGAAGATGCAAATAAGTATATGAGGAGGCCCGGTTATAAGTAGTAAGAAATGGCAACATTATTTTCGAAAAACAGCAAACATTCGCTATTGGATTGGCATCTGATTACTGTGATGACAAATTTAATATGGTAATATCAATATGGTGTTCTTATTTCCATTGATTACGATCATTGTCTTCTTACAGTATCCAATCCTGGTTACTTTTGCCGTAATGCATATGTTTTATTTTATCATTCTGTTTTTGAAATAAGGAGTTGGATTGCAGTACTGCTGCATTTGATGTCAGATCTCTGAATTCTGTCCCGTATTGTACTTACAATAGATATATATCTTATCCCTTTTTAGACAAAATATTTTTAGCTTCTCTTAGACTAAGCAGTGTTTTTTCTTAAATAGAAGAACAATAGCTTTTTTGATTCATCCTTTTTTTGGCTTGTCATACATACAACTCGTATTTAAATACTTTGCAGTTCTTTTAATAGTTCATTTGGGTTTCGTTAACGACACATTAAGAAATGAACATGTGGTAATTTGCAGTTAAAGAAAAACAGTTTTCCAAGAATTGATCGCGCAAAGGAAAAACGTTATTTTTTAAATGCACTGTAATATATTGATTACAGGAAAAAAATTAACCAGATATTCGAAAATTATTTAATTACAAGTGTATAGTCTACACCGAAGTCTGGACCGATTTCAATCCTATTCACGGTTTAACCTCACAATAATGAGCGCAAAGTGATGAATTAACCATTGGTCAGCTTGGAAAGATGTTTTAATTACTAAGCTATGTTTCACATGCTTTACACAAGCCACTTTTTTATCTAACAATAAGAAAGTAGAAAACTGTAAGGCGGAGGACCTTCCCGTTAAAAATAAGAGCTCATACTTGAAGAGCCTTTCTTAGAAAGGTCTAAAAACCTATTTGTCTGAGTACCAAGCAAAAAATAAATTTTCGTTTTTTTCGACCCTCTAACATAAATATACATATTTTTTTTAAATACATATACACAATATACATGTCACATACTAAATTTTGAAATCTTTTCATTATATGCTTTTAGCAAAACTTTAAAATCAACAAGCGCCGTAAGAGCATAAAGGATTTCATATAATTCCGTAAGCCACGTACTATTTTTAAAAGTGGGAGTGCGAGTGCGTTGCGGTAAAAGGAGATGCAGACAAAATAGCTAATAACAAAATATAAGTTCACCAGAAATCCGAAAGGTACAAAGCAACAACAACAAATCTAAACCACCGCCAAGTGTGTTTCTGTAAATCATGTCCCACGAAAAGGTGACAAAACAAAATCCAGAAGCGAAATTTATCGCAAGAACTCATCCACTTAATAAGAAGAAAGCCAAACGCTAAACAACTAAATAGGGATTCACGTATACTTACATATGCAAAAACTTTTACGGCACAAAAATGCCCGACTCACACATACCAACGACGGCAGTGAATGAATTTGGGAGCATAGAACCCTACAAGGTCGACACTTTTAATGAATTCGAGAGCAGCGGTGTCGGGGGCGGTCAAGGCGATGTCATAATTGCTACTGAAAATACTCGTGCTGTTTTCGGCGGCTTAGTGAACGACCTACGAGATAATTATTCCCAACTTATCGGTACCACATCGGTCATTGATTGGTGCAATCAATCACTGCTACTGTATGGCATAAATAACTGTAGTATGAATATTTACAGTGGAATTAACGATACATTGGTGTAAGTACAAAATATAACAAAATCCGATTATAATTCTGCTAGTTACGACAATCGTGGGCTAAGAATAAATAACATTTGAAATGTACATAATTAGTTTTTAACCAAAAGTTTCATTATTCTGACGCTAATGTTAATAGATTAGGAGTTTTTAACTCACAGAGTATGATAAGATAAAACCCGCCAAGGACGAATAAACAAAAACATATGTATTCTTGCACGTAAAAACCAAAATAGGCGACATTATTATATAGAATATATACTTGTGACTACTTAATTAACATTGTGATGTTATCGGATTAGAATATATTTGATCATTAACATTTCAAGTAAGGAAGGGCTAAGTGCTCGAAAATCCTGATATAAGTTATATAGCCACTAGATAAAGTTTTCGCCCAATTGTATCCATTTCAGGCACGAAGATACACTGTTATAAGAAAAACACACTTTCTCATTTTTTTTAAGATAATATTAAGATATTATAAGATACATGCTGTATAAAGTCTCCCGTAAGTTTAAAAGTCTTTATATAAGGTATATAGGGGCTGAAAAAACAATTGACATACAGACATACTATTATCAGGAAAGGATTCTCTATGAATTTCAGATAGATATCTCACACATTGACCGATATTTTCCGTAAAAAGTCAACTGGACTAGGAGCTTTAATACTTTTAGTTCAATTTAGACAATTTTTGGCTGCTTTGTTAACCTTTGTATTCACGGTGACATCAACCGACTAATAAATGCAGTTTCTCTATTACCGCATTATAGCATATGGTATAGAATATTAGTACCGGTTATTTCAGGTGCTTCACTGCGTATTATCCAGTAATAATCTGTTTAGTCTTCGCAATGCTTATGCTAAAGAAATACGTTTTCCATGCCCCCTTCAGATTTGGTAAACGCATTCAACACTGCTCAATATCCTTTTAAACGTATGACAATAACAATAATAAATACGCAAATTGTTTGACAGCTAAAGGGATATAAAGCAGTGAAGTAAAATCAGAGGAGCATTGTCAAACCACAGAAAAGGAAACAAAAATGGCAGCTGAATAGAAATGTTTCCTTACAGATTCGAGGAATTAGTAGTAATTCTAAATTATTCAAAAACATATTGCATTATTGCCTATTTTGCCATTCATACAACTTCTGTCGCCCATTCAATTTTTAATGGAAGTAAAAAATTGTCAATGATGGAACAATGCAAATTCCGAACATAATTCTGCCTTAAGAAAATTAGAAATTACTAGCATTAAAGTGGGGAGCTAGACGAAACCGCATTTAAAGCGCTACATAAAGCAAGGGGTGCAGAAGTGAAGTGTAATGTAATTTCTTTTTCAAATCCCTCTCGCATACTGGGCGAAGGTACCTAGGCATATAGTACTACTTCAGCACGTTAGCTCACGTGTAGTACGCTCGAGTTCTCAGAGTTGTTTGTAACATGCGGTGACGTGTTGGCTGGTCTTGGTTCCCGTAGCGATACATTAGCATGCCGTCATAGGCTTGATTGCAACATTTGCTCACAGCTGCCGGGGATTTAAGCCTGTGAGCTCTTATGACAACATTAATTATAATCTAATCACCAAAAAGTCTGAACATTAAACTACTTTTATATTCTGATAAGCAAATGAACTTAATTTATATAAATAATAAGAGCATTAAGCTTTACATAAACGTAGCTGTATGTACTTGAGTATGATTGGACGTCTGATTAAGCCTGTGTTGCATAAATTTTTAGAGAGTCTGCAATAATTTCACTTGCTGATTAATTTAAAGTTATAACGTCAAAGAAGTTAATCGTCATTTTATCAGCAGACCAGGCGGTTACAATTGCGCTGCAAAGAGTTTACCGTTACTCGTGGTCGTGGAAAAAACTTTCAGTAGTACATACATATGTACGTGTACCTGCTTATTTAGGTATATTTGTAATCGCCTAAACCGAGAAGCCTGTTAAAAAATTTAAATTTACAAATAACTTTTCTACATTCAAATACTAAATTTTATGCTGGCGTATACTGAAAAAATTTGCAAATTACTAAGGCATTCAGCCTCACCGCCTGATCTCGCCACTATCGAAAGAGAAATACAAGGTGCGTTCCAAAGTAAACAGTAAAAAAGTAACAAAGTAAACTCTAGTGGCGCCATCTATATGTCGACCAGTGCGTTAGAATCTGCTATCCTTTATCGACTTCCAGTAAAAACTGCATGACATTTCATCTATTGGAAGTGAAGTTATTGCGTTTTAAGTGTCAGTATGTTTTTGTCACCGGTGCGAAAATGAGCTTCGAACAAAGAGCCAACATTAAATTTTGTTTTAAATTTCGTAAAACTTTTACCGAAATGTTTCAATTGATGAAACAAGGTCCACAAAGAATTTATTCCACCCGGCCAAAACGTTAATGCAGTATTCCACCTTGAAGTTCTGAAGCGTTCGGTGCGCCGTATTCGACGTGTTCGGCCCGAATATTGCGAAGATGGAAGATAATGCGCCGTCTCATCGATCGACGCTTGTGATATGGCACCGTGCGACTTCTACCTTTTCGGAAAAATGCATTTGCCGATAAAACTAAAGCGTTATGCAGACGTGGAGGCCATTCAAAAGGCTTGCACTGGCATACTGGCGGCCATACCGGGCAACGAGCTAAAACACTCGTTCGACATGCTTTTGGACCGTGCAAAAAGCTGTAGTAAAGCAGAAGGAGACTATTTTTATTAAAATTAATTGATTTTGCCGATAAAACCATTTGTCCTTTTTTGTTTTTTTAAGTCCTGTTTACTTTGGAACGCACCTTGTATACTATAGTGTAGTACATTTTTATAGACAACTACTGTCAGTTGAATCAAACTTATTTTGAACAGGAAACGGGAAAGAAGGCGAAGACTGTTCAATCAGCGCGAATGTTGACGGCCGCCGTTTTTTGGAATTATGAAAGTGTGATTTACATAGATTTCCTGAAGAATGGGAAAGGTCACAGGACTATACCATGCCGAGTTATGGGGCTGATTCCAATCTTGGAAAAATTACTTGCTGGGGTTAAAAAGTTAACAGCTGGGTCAAGTGTATAATTTACCTACAACTTTCGCTTTACTTTTGTAGAGTAAATACTTATAAGACCGTCCTTTTAAACATAAACAGCAACTCTTGATAGATATATGCTTCGAAAAAGTTGCCTTTCTAACTGCTGAATTTTAAATTACAATTTGTATTTGCTGATGATAAATAAGTACTCACCGGTTTGAGTTTTTAAGTGATTACTGATTACAAAACATTACCACCTTCCATTGCATGATTATAATAAACCCTTCACAAATACAAAGGTTCCTTACAAGAACTTGATTCTTATCGTTCAGTTTTAACGTCAGCTGTATAATAGAGATCTGAACTGAATAATTTCTTCGGAGAATACATAAAAAAGTTTCACATACAAGTACTTTATTCCGATTTTTTAGTTTGTATGGCAGCTATATGCTATAGTGGTCCGACGTCGGCCGTTCCGACAAATGAGCAGTTTCTTAGTGAGAAAAGGACAGATGCAATACTTCAGATCAATAGTTTAAAAAGTGAGGGACTTGTTCACATATATACAGACAGACAGACGGACAAACGCACATGGCTAAATCAACTCAGCTCATCATGCTGATCATTTTTGTATTGTATATATTTTATAGTGTCTCCGACATTTCCTTTTGGTTACAAACTTCTTGCAAACTTAATATACCCTGTTCAGAGTATAAAAATAAAATGTGTAAAATGACAACGGCACTGTAAGACATATAATATTTAGTTACTCGTCTTATTTAATTGAATTAAGCTTCAAATGTATAAATTTAAAAAAGGGGAAAGAAAACTGTCCTATGCAAATTCGAATTGTCGAAGTAATTAGACAAACACTTTGAAATATAAAAGTTTACGAAATGTAAACAAAACGATGGGCATTTCCGAAGACTTGCAACTACAGAGTACTGTAAACAAAATGGCAAAGGCACTTGCACCAGGAGTGAGGGTAGGGAACATAAAACAAATACTAATAATATTAAGAAATATTGTTGAGCAATATTCGGGTGTGTTTATTAGCTTTAGCTACGGTTTGGCGAAACAACCCCTTTTCCTGCAAATGTACCAATTTTGGTTTCACGCTACATTTTGCGATACCATGATTTCACATTTAAAAAGTCTACGTGTATGATTACTCGTCGTTTTTATACCCTAAACAGGGTATATTAAGTTTGCCACGAAGTATGAAACACCCAGGAGGAAACGTCGGAGACCCTATTAAATGTATACATAAATGATCAGCATGATGAGCTGAGTTGATTTAGCCATGTCCGTCTATCTGTCCGTCTGTCCGTCTGTCTGTATATATATAAACTAGTCCCTCACTTTTTAAGCTATCGATCTGAAATTTTGCACCTATCTTTTTCTCACAAAGAAGCTACTCGTCGGAATGGGCGATATCGGACCAAAATAGCATATAACTGCCATACAAACTGAACAATCGGAATCAAGTGCTTGTATGGGAAACTTTTTCCTTTGACGAGGTATCAACAATGTAATCTCCAAATAAATTAATCAGATCGGATGACTATAGCATTTAGCTGTCATATTAACTGAACCATCGGAGTAAAGTTCTTGCATGGAAAATTTGTTTATTTGACAAGGTATCTTCACGAAATTAGGCACGAGTTATCGCTTAAGGCAACAAATTATTCTCCGCAGAAATTGGTCAGATCAGATTACTATATCATATAGCTGCCATACAAATTGAACATTCGGGTGAAGGGTATTATTTCACCGGTTTCACCGAAGCTAACGTTTTTTCTTGTTGCACTTGATTTACGCAATGAGGCAGATGTTGATTTTAGAAACCGAAAATATAATATTTATTTGTTTAACTTTTCACGCAGAAAAGTGGTACTTCTAAAAGATATTCAATTTTCTTTCAATTGAGTATCTTTTATGGAACCTTAAAGCTAGACAAAATCTTAAGATTGAAAAT